CATCTCTCGCTTCCCGAGCTGTTCTTCCCCCCCCACTCCTTTCCTTGGTGATTATCTCTCGAATGCATGTTGCAAAAGCATGTCCGACCAAAAGGATCTGATGGTGCGATGCGAGTCAAGCAAACTATGTCCCAGTGATCAGAACTTGCTCTTCAGTACAACTCACATCTTTGCGCCATTTCTTTTGCTCTGAAAATGACGTCGTTGACGAGATTGGCGGCTGCGTCACGGATATCTTGCTTCAGGTCGGCTTCAAACTCCACGGACGAGAACTCTGGAAAAGAAACCGAACGCTCAGCCTCGGAATTTCTTTCATGCTTTCGATTACGGGCATGATTCCCATCGACTAGCCGAACGGGCTCGTGTCACGCGAGCTGAGTTGAGCCATCTCTTATGGAAGGCCTTTTGCCGGCGATGCGGAAGATAGAGGTTTGCGGGATCCTCTCGATGGAGTTTAATTAACTCGTGTGATCAAGAGCTAGCGATCAGTAGAACGGAGTTGAGGAACGGATGTGCACAGTACGGCACCGTTCCTGCGTATTGTTACCGCGGTTCGAATGGCTGCGCGAGCTCATTTTCTCCTATGAGCAGAAACAAGAAATCGAGGCGACAACAGGGTCGCCTCAACAAAAATAATTAATGCCGCCGCCGCCATCTCCATTGAGGCCAGCGTAACGTTATAATGACGTTGGCATTCAGTGACAACATCCTTTGCTTGAATACAGCCTCCACCTGTTAGCGGCACAGCCGGTGAATATTATGACAGTGTCGAGGTCGACGTTGCGCTGTAATTGCGGCCGGGCAACACTGGATCAGCGAACATACATTCATATTTGCCGCAATCTCTACGCCGGACAGCTGTGCCAAGTGGGCTGCCCAGAGACCCGGACCGGCCTTCACAGGCTCGATTTGGATCCTTCCCAGTTTGGGACCACGTCACCACGTTCCAGGAGGTTCGGGGCGAAAAATCGTTCATCCTGTCGCTCGGGCCCGAAAAATCAACTGGGCGAAGGCTCTCCACGGGAGCATAATTCGGACGACGCGGGCGGATTCGTCTGAGCATTTGTCACGATTGAGAGATCTGGACCAAGGTGCTTCGTGCCTCGGGCGGGGGGACAACATACCACTTTGTTCCAGAGTTCTCCAAACCGCCAAACGGAGAAGGATGCACCTCATAGTGCGCCGCGGGATCCGACAGTCGAGGACGCGTGTCTGGTCCGCCTCATCATCGGGTGAGTGCGAGAGTGAACGAGTCTCACCGAAACATAGGCCACGGCGGTGGAGGGCAGCTATTGCTTGGCATCTCCAAGTAAACGTCAACGACCTTGGCGTATTTGCTGAGCCGAGACGGAGTCTCTCGATCAATGCATCGAGATGCAGAATCACCGATAACCTCACGAGATCTCGGACATTCGTTCGAGACGTAATGGATTTTTTCTGAGATTTCCCCGATTCTCCGACGGATGTCGAGACCCCCCCCCCGGTTCATGCTGCGATGCTCTTGTACAAAAATAGTTAAAATTGAGCAGCTTCGATTCTATTTGAGAACTTGCTGGTGGTTTTCGCATGAAACGGGGAGCGAGTCAGAGCGATCGAGGTATTTCCCCGGTCCCGGTCTCCCCGAGAAAACTTGAGAAGGTGGGGGGCACCAAAGCTCGCCCGACAGGTCGACGTTGGCGTCGTTCCGTCGCTCCGAAAACCTTGTTCGTGGTCAAATCGCACTCCTCCTTGCCCTGGACGCGGAGCAGCTGGGCTCCGCGTCGAGTGGCTCTCTCTAGAGTCAGCAGGGGCTATGCGGCCTAAAACGGTTCATATCTCTTCAAAACAGCTGAGAGCGAATAAGAGAAAAGAAGTGGGTCTCTAAATCTGTCGTTTCAAGATCACAGCGCTCAAACTCTCTCGCGCAGCTCGTCCCTCTGTTCTTCGTTTTGAATGTTGTTCCTAACAATAGGATCGGACTCCTCGACATTCTTGTTTGTTTCTCCACTTTGCGGGGAATCCTCGCGTGTGCAACCGTCTTTGACACAGGTCCTTTGTAGGTCGCAAACAAGCATTCGCGTTCTCTCTCTCTCTCTGAACTCTAGGCGATGAGGTTCAGAGAACAAGCATCAAGGGTAGCAGGAGCTCCCATCGGTCGGAGTGGACAGGAGTTCCGACCTTCGATCTCGAATTCCAATATTTTTGCTCGGCAAGCGATCCGAAGTGTTTCCTACGATTACTGTTAGACCAGGCGCGATTTTTCCTTGAGCGGCTACATTGGAGTCCCACGAATTTGCTTCCTTGTTATCTCAGCTCTCAAAGCGAGCTTTTGCAGCTCGTTCTCCCCCGCGGACTCGTGGGGGGTGATCTGCACGTCCCTTCCTCGCTTGTTCCGTCGGCGCCACCCCGCACGCCGACCAGGAATAGAACACGCGATATGCGTAGACATGCCCCAAGCAGCTGTTAGGCTGGCAGGACCAACCGAGTGAGCCAGCCGCTCGCCGAGGAGATAACACGTATGTACAATGCAACTGCTTTCAATAATTATTGCGACGCTCGCTAATCTGAGTCTTCCGTCGAGTGATGCGAGCAAAATCTAATTCATTTCTTCCGGAAGAGAAGTTCCGATCTTCCTAGGTTGCGACGTCGCGCATATACCTGTAGGAATACCGGGACCGTGTCCGTGCCTCCAGAAATTCTAGGTTCGGATACCGGACGGCCTCATCCGACGTCCGAGCGTGGTGTAGGACCGAGAGAGGAGCTGAGAGGGTAAAGCCGCTCAAGAACGCTGTGGGAAGAACTTCGGAATGGAATGGGATATCCTCAGCCCAGTCTCCTGGAAGTTCTTCATCTCAATCGCAGGTCCCAGTCATCACGTGATGCTCCCTCGTATCCCTGCTTCGGAAGCCTCGCAGAGTGCGATTCCTGCAGTTCGGTAGAAAGCGGAAAATTCGGAAGACGTCGAGTCTTTTCATCGGAGTTCCAGGGCGTCGATTCCGGAGTCTCCCGATCCGCTCGAACTAGGGGTCGGAATTCGTTCCGGAGAAAATTGGACCGTTCAATGAGCGACGGGCGAATCTGAATGGAAGAGACATGTCAAAGGTTTTACAGGTGCGCTGTGACCCGACTCATCCCCGACGCGGAGGAGTCCAAGGGAGCCGGAAGCTAAAACTAGAGATAGAATATTGGGCCCCGCGAGGGCTCGGCTCTTTGAGAAATATGCCCAGTCAGGGCATCGGATTGCATTGCCACATAGCAGAAGAGGGGATTAAGATAATTAGCGCAGGATCGGCCCGACCCACCGATCGAGGATTCACCATGACGAATGTTCGTCGCGGCTGACGGTCGAACGCGTGAAATCAATCCCCGGGCTTTAGTAGATACTCGAGGGGGCAACTCAGGTTAGCTCTGCCATCATACGGTTTCGCAGTATCCACAAAGCCCCGGTTCATGGTGCCCGCATTCGAACATGACAAATTCGAGTCTGTGACGTCCATGGAGATCCATTGTCATATTATCTACTCGATGCGAATCGTCATCACGGTCGAAGAGTGGTCCGAAAATCGATACCCCCTCGCGCTAATCAAGCTCATTGACCGCGAGCAGTACAGATCCTCTAATGGAAAATCGAGATTGGCCGATATAATGCGGACCTAGAGTGAGCTCGGAACGATTGAGCAAAATCATGGGGATGATAGCGTGATTCTGACGCGAATCCTCCGGAAGGTAACCCACCCCAGTCCTGGAATCGTCAAGTTACCCGGCGCGATTCCAGACGACTTTATCCTTCCTTGCTTGTAAGATTCTCCAAGCGTCCAAGCAAGGCAGGAGCAAAGTGAACTCCGGTCGGTCCAACGATCGGACCCAACAGGGAAGCAGCCGGCCCACTAACGTAGGCATCAACATTGACCCAATGAGAAGATCTAAACTCGGCAGAGGGAGCTTGTCCCGTGCCTGCTCTCGCTGCAACGATCCATCCTGAGCTAGACCCGCGTAACCGCATAGCTCGAGCTCAGGGGCCAGGAATGACCGATGAGGTGATCGATCGACGCGTGAGGAATTCCGCCTTATTTCCTATCGCGGCCGACGCGAAAACCATCAGAGAGGAGAAATTGACCCTGAATCTTCACGACTCGAGACATACTTCTTTCTCCTCACGGTTACCCTAAGTTAGATGGAGGATTCCCGGATTAATGCCTTAGCTCTAACAGCTTCGTCGGGACCATCTTGATTCGGTGTCCCTATGTGTAGGTTTACGCTCTCTCCGCTGCGGCCGCGATCCCGCTGCCGCCATCGCCATCGTATAGCTGCGTCACAGATAGCAGGAGTTACTTTTAGCCCGTCTGTTCGAGATCCGGAAGGAAGGGGGGAAATATCGGCGCTCGATTCGTGACTCAAGACGGCGACCCAGCGAACTTCTTCTCGTCCACAATGCTATCGCGGCCAAACCACTTCGAATCGAACCTTTTGTCGCTCTCGAAGAGGATATCTATACCCTCGTGTTGGTCATTCGAGAGGAACCTTCGTAAACGAACAACATTCACGATTGGATAAGCCGACAGTCGAAAAGCTGTCGATGCCAATGATGGTCGAGCGTCTTGCTTGCCGCTCACAGGCATCAGGTTACGGCTCCATGTAACGCGAACTCAAACCTCGGTAGCTTCGACGTAACGGTACGATTCCCCAGACACTTCATGCATCATACGTGGTTGAGCAAGCGCGCGTAGCTTCTCGATTCTCTGTCTCTACGGGGAATGGTCTAATGGTGACGGTTCGCTTCGTTAAGATAAAGCTGAAGAGGGAAAGAAACTGTGGCGTTCTCCCCGTTACCGATGCCCGCGCGAGCAGTTTTGCTGCTCGGCGACGCGATCACTTTAAGCATGATGATCATTCGAAGGCGGCGAGTTTCCGAGAACGACTCGAAATGTTTCTTAAAAGTCTCAACTATGCTCCTCTGCTCCTGTTCCTCCTAGCTCGTAGCATCGCAACTGAAACAAAGGAATGTGAGTCGCAGGACGTTCGAAATCGAGCTCGTTGAAGCAGGGGCTCGCGTTTTCCGACCGCTTCTGTTTCCCCGGGATCTTCCGGGATCCGAATAATCATGAGTGTCGTGAATTTCTGTGAATTCCCTCGACTTTCCCCCAGACTCCCTTGAAGCCTTATGTGGAACGCACACGGACCTGCGAGTAGCAAATGTCACAAGCTTCACACTCCGAGCTGGCAAGGAGACCTCGCCGACTTGCCACGGAACACTGAACGTGCGATGGGAAACGCAACAAGCTTTCTGGGTTACCGTGACGGTTCGCCGGTTTTCTTTCACAAGGAGTTCAGCCAGCGTAAGAGATGGAGCTTGCAACACCCCGCAACCCATCAAGGTACGTCACGGCCGGTGCACAAACACGCAGGGACGTACGTGGACACTGTTCGACCTGTTCTAATTTTGGCACGACTCAGCAACGCTCAGCTCGTACGTCTTCCGATGAGTCCAGGAAGGAATGATCATTATTATTGGAAGGTGACGCGCGGACCGGAGCTGTTCCCGCTCCAGATATCCAGCGCTCGACTCGAGTGCTTTTGAAGGATGGGCTTTCGAACCAGTGCGTGTTACGCTTCCGAAATAATTGGATCTCTACGGAGGGACTGCTTAAGCGAGGAAGAGTCCGCGACTTTCGCAGAAGGCCGCTCCTAGACCCAGCCGTCGGATCGTCCGGCCGTTCCATTCTTATGCACGGGCATTGATGATCATCGTCGAGAGCACTTCATGCCTTTTTCAGCGAGCTCTTTATTCAGAACAGTGGCTGCGGCAGGAGGAAAGCGGCGTCCGGGAAACTCTGATTCGTCTGCGCTGATTGTGGAAGCGAGAAGCAGAATGAGAATGTAATTTGTTTTCCGGCTTTCAGCTTGTCTCGTATGATGGCATCCGATCGATTTCGGGACCGACAGAGTTCAGCATGCGCTTTTTCAGCTCTGTTCAACTGCAATACTCTCGACGAATTCCGTTCGAAAACTCTGAACTTGATATGACGATTACGGTGGAGCCGTTCGAAATCGAAGAGAAGGTCGAGTGGTTCAACCGGCACAATTACCATAATGGTGAGTGCTCTGTGACGTGCCTTAGGGGGGAGGAGGGGGGTCCAATGGGAGAGTGAGGCCTTTGCCGCTTCTTCTGCTCCTGTGCGTTTTCCCTTTGGCAACTCCAGTCGGCCATCGAATCACTGCATATTTCGTCAAGTAGCGCATATTGGATTTGTCACGTACCTACTTCCCGCCTGTCCGATGCGGCGATGTCGAGGTTTTCGGAGTTCTCTATTCCTTCGGTTAGAAATCGAGAGAAAATGTCAGACTTGCATCTGACATGAGCGGGATGCTCCTCTTTGATCTGCAGTTTCCTTGGAGGATTTCTGCGGACAAAACCTATCCGAGAACGTCAGCGATGGGGCCGTGCGCTGGGGACTGAACGTCATCCCGCCGCCCTGGAAAACAGACCCAGACTCGAAATGCTTGACCGCGCTCAATTTCCACGCGGGCAATTCCCCGGACCCGTATTTTGTTTCCGTGGGCGTACACGACAGCGATTTGGGATCGGAAGCCGACGGCTCTCGGAGGCAATGTTTGTCCCGACATCCGCTGTCGGTGAGTACTTCACGAGAAGCGTAAGATGGATGAGGGGCGAATCAGCCGCATTCGAGTGCTGCACGCGGTTGAGAGCTAATTTCTGCAAATTCGATTTACAGATTCGAGGGCTTAATTGGATACATACAGTCACGCCGGGATGCTCGGTGCTGACGCTTATGCGTCACAGCGGAATCACTCGAGTGGTTTACGATCGCAAGGAGCCGTACAAAGAAACCATGTATTTAAATATGACTCTTCGCTTGAATGAGGGTACGTAAATCTGGAGCTTCTGTTGTGAGAGGTGCAACCTTGGAAACAAGTTCTTTGAACTACTCAAGGAAGACGATCCTTGTTCATTTCAGGGGATTATTTTGTCACCGACAAAGAATGTGAGTGACGTTTCTTCTCTAGGACTTCAATGAACTTCCAAAAGCTCTGTTCAAGGGGCATGAAGGATCGACTCGACAGAGACGATTTCTTGACAAGCTCTTCCCTGCCCTTCCAGACGATGAAGAGCCCCCCGCGAGAGAATGAGCGATACCGAACGTCGAGGAGTCTCTTGCCGGAGTGATCCCCTCCCGAGTCGCGGGAATACTTTTCGCGACCGACAAGCTACAGCGGGTGACTTGAGCGCAGGAAACCATGCGATTGACTCGATAGTGATCGATGACTTCGGAGAGTACTGTGATTCTTCCCCATCCGCTCGAACGTGATTCTCAGCGATAATTCTCTCCGATCCCCTTGAAGTTGTAGGAGATTTCCCTCGAGTGTCCAATGGATCGTTCCGGCGCATGGTCACTCGTACTGCTGAATCGAATAAAATTCAGGGACATTCAGACAGCAGGCTGAAATCGTATTTCGTGGAAGGGAAATTTATATCCGGACTGACTCCACAAGACCCTTCGGGGAAAAAAGCGACGAGATCGGCGCTTTGGGGATAATCCCGGAGGAGGACACATTCTATCACGGAGGGCAAACCCTAGCGGTTTATTACCACGCGTGGCATCGTGCAGAACTCGTGTATCATTCTCAGCTCGATCGAAGAATACATATCTCCCTCAGTACGCAATCGCATTTGAGTTTGGCGAATATCCTCCGCGAGAAAACCAATACCCGTACGAATTCTTTTGTGATGCTGCTTCAACTCAAGCAGAAATAATATTCACGAGCCTGTATGATTCCCGCGGCTCGATTCAGTCGGAGAGATATCTCTGCGGAAATCTCGAATCCCTCTCAGACTTTGGAGGATGGAGTATGGAGCTACGCAGTTCTCCGAAGGAAATCTTCCCGGGCAAGCAGAATATCTTTTCCCGACGACTCATGAGATTCGCGTGACCCGCGAGGCACGATATATCGATAATCACATGAACCTCTTCTCGAAGCCTCGAATCCTATTAGTGGAGTTCGGTCAGGCACATCACGGCATCTTTATGAGTTTCGCAACAAATCAACACCTCGGGAACGGTCCTGCAAGCAGTTGTTGCAATGGAGGCTGCAGGAAACTTCTCTGAGGGGCCCGCCTTTTGCATGAATGAGACAATTTTCTAGAACTTTGAAGAAGGCCTCTCCAGAACTTAAGCTCAGATGCTCTTTCCCTGTTCGCTGCTCGAGATCTCGTAGCCATTCCCTGAAACCGCATGGTCACGCCAACGAGGGAGCCCCAACAAACAGTATCGACTCCTCTGAGACTCATGGCATCCGATAGAGATCGGGAGCGTGATTTCATGCGGACTCCTACGATCGTGCGAGGAGTCCTCTCCGGGAAGTGTTTGCGTCGTCCCGGAAGTTTGCAGATTTGCTCGGAAGGCAAATATTTCTGCCTGGAAGCGGGAACGGCGGCTGTCATGTGAGCAGAGAAGGGACAGAATAATGCTTTCTGGAGTTGAAAGTCAAAGGAAGCTAAGAATGTCGTTTCCGTGAGAATCGAAAATCTCCAAGAGCTCACTTTCATCATCAGGTATCAGAGCAAGAATCTGATACCCCTCTCTGGAGCCACAACCCGACCTCCAACACTAGAGCGACGGGAAAAGATTCGCCTTCGATCCGCCATCCATGTCAACATCCCCCCTCGAAGCTGCGAAATCGACTCGACAATAATTCCGGGAGCGGTTCTATAGATATTCATGAGTCGTCATTAGTATTCTCCGAGTTTCGATTCTCGATGCGATTGAGCGCAAACGTTGGATACGCTCATTGCTCAAATATTGTTTCACAAACACCCTGTCCAAATGGATACTTCCCGTCCATTGAACAGACGACCGAATTTTATCAAACGGGGGGAATTATCATTCCTTGAGGGACCTCCCGATAGATCCATTCTTGGAAATTGAGTTGAGTCCTCAGCTCAGTGTGCCTCGCACATCCCCGAGTCTCAACCCAGAGAAGTTGATGATGAACCTGTCCAGCGAATCCTATTAGACAGCTTCCGGCTGCTACGAGGGAAGAGAATGAACGCTTAGTTTGCTCATTTCGTCTATTTGAGACCGGAAAGGAATCAACATGACCTTTTCGGCGTTCCTGAAAACCCCGCGAGCTCAGCCAAGTTCGCTCCCCGTGAAACGGCATTGGTGAGCAGCGAAGCGAAGACGTTGTCCTCTCGTGCGAAGTCTCAATCCCTCCTCGTTAATCCGGAACGAGAAAAAAACAACCAGGGACAGTGATGTTCCCTCGCATTAGAGCATTCCATCACCGGAGCTCTCTGAACGGATTGTCGGACGGAGACGAGCGCGCAAACTTTAATTCCCTTCCTCACGCAACAGACCAACTTGTGCGGGAGGGAGCATGACAACGGTCATCGAACTTTATAGATACTAGTTCACACTGCCGAGATCGCAACGATCTTCGATTCAGACAGCGTGATGCTCGGAGACTATTCTCGATGCTCTTTCGATCAAGCATTGGAAACGAGGGGACGGACTCTGTTCAGCGAGGAGATTGTCCGAGAATCTCGATGCGAACAAAACTGTCTTTTGATCCCTGGGCACGCCATGTGATTAGTCCTCGTGCTCGCTAAGTTACTCAGTGTTTCGTCGAGCACTCTTGACCAGCTCTTCCCTCGTTGTGACGCAAATAGATGGGTGCGTTTGCACGTCCGTACATCCAGAAGACTTTTTTGCTGTCGAGTCTTCTGAGCGAATGAGGGTTTTGCTTCCACACGATTATCAGAATCTCTTGAGTGTTCGAGAGATTTGCGCGACTAAGCTTATCGTTTTTTCCTTTCTTTTTCAATTTTAGTCGTCCGGGAAAACTTCCACAAAAGCCCGACGAAAAATTCCCGAACCCCGCCGATGAACAAAGGGAGTTTTCACTCGCCCTCGACTCTTGCTAGCGAGCGCTAGTTCGTGCTCTCGGCTTCCAGGTGCTTTGTCACAAGAGAAGAGAGAGCTCTTGGGATCTGCATGTTCTGCGCAGCCGAGCTGGGCCACGTACGTATCCTCGGCAAAACGACTCGCTACTTCGAAGTTTACATGGTCCGTAGGGTGCATGGCCCCTTCGAGAGCACTTCTGTTGTAACAAAGAATTTCCTGCTCTTTCGGTCGGGCAGGCCCTCTGAATATGAGAATCCTTTATCCCGTACATCGTATCCTTCCTCATCAGAACTCAGCTATCCATGCGCGCATGCCGAATCTGGTACATGGGCTGTAGCGGATCTCATGGGGAATACGCATCGCCTCTATCAGCCCTACGACTGGTGAGCTGCTTCTCATTCGAAATAGAACAAAAAGCAATCCGTAGTTCTTGGTATATCGAAAACCACCGGGATAGCCGCTCGAGTCGGATCGGAAAGCAGTCAGAAGGCCCCAAGAAATACGTCGATCGGGTCCACGTCCTTTTCGTTCCTCATGTGCACAAGTACCTGCCTTCATTTGCTGGTATGAGAGCTGCAACAAGTCGAGCGGAGCTAAATATAGATCCGAAGCCGAACATCAACCATCTTTCCCGTCGTTCTTTCCTTCGGACGAAGGATGAGGACAAGAGAGGAGGACCGTCAGGGCGGCGGCAACGCTACTAACGAGATATGGACTTAATCCCATATTTTCTTTAGGAGCAAAAGTATAACGACTGGCAGGAGAGGAGTGGTCGAGGACTCTTTTTTGGGAAGCGGACCGTCTCCCGGTGACAAACACAGTTTCTTTTTCAACGAGGGAGTGAGATTCCACACGTCCGACACGAGGGCATTCGATAATGATGTGGCGAGACGCATCGAATCTTCAAGAAATTCGGGCTCAAGATAAGGCAATCTGCGGCTGCTCCGGGAAGGATCTCTGAGGATGCACGAAATAGCTGCGGTCATTCGTCAGTTTCCTTGAACAGCTCCACCGAGCGACACTTTGATATTTGTTGCTCCAGCCGGAAATTCGGAATGATATCCTCGCTCGAGATATAGGGAGTACATACGTACTGACTCGAAGCCTGTATCCCCGATTTCTGCGGGTTAGAATGAGATCGTATCAAGTCTTGAGGAAAGGAACTCCGTCCCTCGTGAAAAGGACATATTTCAGAGGATCGATTCCGCAGTCTCATTGACAGCGTTTGGTCTCGACCAAGTCAATGGCTTTTGCCCCCCAAGGAAAAATTCTGAATCCGCAACCGAAATTATCCGTAGCAAACGCTCATGTGCTATTCCTAGATTTACGAAAACACTGCGATCAGGGGACATCAGCGTCGATTGACTTCACGCTTCTGAGGAAAATTCCTCGCCAGGGCCACGCCGGCTTCAACATGAGATCGTTCCGCATCGAAGGACTGCACGAAGGGTGTGTGCGCCGCGTCGAAGAATTTTCGATGAATCCCAAATGAAAGGGCACAGATTCGAACGTCGACACGAGCCTCCTTGTGATGGGTGTCCATAAGTGAACAACTATTGGAGCGCTCTCACTTTATCTGAACCATTTGATTCAGGGAAGCTTCATTCCCCCGGATGTCCGAGGCTGTGGAATGAAACTGCTTACTCTCCTAGAGCCCCGGATTCTGCGCTCCATTCTTCCATCACGCCCTTGCATTTCGACAAGGTGACGATGCATTTTGCCGCACGTGTCGTCCGTTCAGAGGAGCTGTCTATCAGTATTGGCGTTTAGTTTTTTCGTGAAGGGGGGCTAGATCGGGTCTTCGGATTGGGCCGGAATCCAATATGGCGATACTCACCTATACCACAACATTGCGAAGAGATCATTGGGGCATGAACAGCGGCCCTTTTAGCCCCTTCCCCTGCGTACGCCCCTGCCTGCCCCCCTCTCCAATATATTGTTGACTGCGTGGCGGATCACAAGAAGAAAGGTTTCTCCACATTCGAAATGGCGCTCGGAGGCCGAAATATTTTCTGTGTTTTCCTTCAGTTAGGAAATGAGCTCTTCGACGCGTGTTGACAAATTTCACTCGGCAACGGCGGAAGTTCGCGCCCAGCAGATTTTCTGGGCTAGCTCTTAAGCAATTATTGCCACATTTGATGCGGCTCCGCTTATCTGAGTGAATGGTGGCGCCGCCCGGATGGCACAAGAAAAAAACGGCTGGGCTTCCGCTTCAAGCAGGTACGGACCGGAACCTGACGGCCGATGGGACAGAGAGGACACAAATTGAGCTTCAGGTTGAATAATTGATTCGACGCCTCTTTTCCAAGAGCCTCAAGATCGATTGTCGAAAGGATGGTGAAGCGCGGGCTCGTTCGCACTGATTACGTCCGCTCCATAACGAAATTTTTCTGCGAGCTCCCCAGACAGCTGTTGCTTGCCTTGCTTGATCGGGATTTATTCCGCGCGATCGTTCCCTCGAGGTCATACACGTTTCTCAAGCTGCCCGGAAAATCGATGTCCCTTTTCGTTGCCAGTGCCACTTCGCGGGCGATCATCCGACTTATCGAATCGCTCGGGTTCGAGCAGCCATCGAGTTGTACTTACTTATCAGGGAAGCGAGAAAATTCCCCCAGAAATTCTTCCCGCAAGGAACGCGGTAGTGAACAACCCCCTTCCCAGAGGCGCACTGATCGAACATCTGCCGTATCCTGACATCTCCCTTGAAGGTTCAAGAGCCAGCTGCTTTTGTGCATGATGGAAAACCATAAAGTTATACTCCTGAACGGGGTTTAGCTATGACAAACAGCACTCGCAAAGATCGCAGATGTCCGTCATTTAGCATGGGGATGTTCGATTCTAGCGAGTTGACAGACGTGGAACAAGTGAGCGACAGCAAGCATTCACTGCCGCAGAACACGTATTCTCAGTCACGGTGCTGAGCCAGCAATGTTTGCACAGGATGGTTTGACGATCGGTGCTGACTGAGGTCTACTAGCTTTGAAAACATTCCAAGATCGACGTGATCTACAATCATATTGTACGCGGCACGCTGCTCTCTCAGTCAGTGTTTCCCGGAGAATTCATCGAGGCTCCCGAGAATCCTCGGATGATCGAAACTAGTTGCTCGATTCGTTTTCTTTTCTTTCTCATCGAGTGCCTCTCTCCGAGCGGACGAGTAGCCCCGGGGCATCTTCTGACGTCATCGATTCCAGAAAAGGTTGCGAAAACGTCTTGTTAGATCAGAAGTCGATCGGATCTCCGCATTATTCCCATGGATCGCGTTATCGACTCGTACTGGAATCTTGTTTTCTTCTCTATCTACCACCTCAGTCCTCTTCCGCGACAGGCACCGGAGAGATCATTGCTCGAGTCAATCAAGCGTGATGATCCATGGCTTTGATATTTGCCGTTGCTGCATAGCAAACATTATTTCGCCTCATTCTGATATGCGGAAATATCTCCGCGAGCCCCACCATCCCGAACGGGACATCGCTGTCAGATCTCGTGGGAATTCTTACAGGAGAGAGTGGTGGGTGAGAAACAGTGAGCTGTCTGAGTTTCCGCCTAGCTCGTTCGAGACCACTTGTTGCATCCCACCAGATATCAGAGACGAGGATTTCGATCGCTGATTTTTTTCTCCGATCCAATACTCAATTTATTGCAGAGATCGCAATCCTCCAAAAACCTGGGCTACCACAGTCCGCAGAGATCCGGAAGATCTTTTTTTTCTCGAAAGGAGGAAAACCGCATATCTCGAAAACTCGCTACTCGGATCGTTCAGGTTTACCACGGTCGGGAACGGGTTTCCTCCTCATGCGGGCGTCAATAATGCGCAACTTTCTGTCCGCGGAATCACTGTACCGAGTGTGCGCGTCTCAAGGGAACGTTTGTCCTTTCGTCGACTCACCTTGCTTGCCGCCTTTCATGATGGGGATCTAGACACCGTGCCAGACTGCGGCTTTGGAGCTCACAACGCGGAAGTTAAAGCTCCGTCTGAGTGACTGCTCGCTCCGCTCTCCAGGCTTGGAACTCGACGTAGAGTAGTTTAAGTGTCTTGTCACGTTTTGTTGCTTCAGCTCCAGCTCTCCCAGCTCACAGTAAATAAAGGACGGCGGTAATCTCGAACAGGCCGACCGCCAGCTCGTCAGACAGCCACCTTAGATAGTCGGTGTTTTGTAGACCGACCCGCGCGGAACGAATGCGACCCGCGCCGCTCAGAGAGGAATGCGCGCGCATGGAAAGGACACTAGCTGACTGGGGAAGAGTTCAGCGAACGTCGTCGTTGCCACCGTCGCGGTAGTTTTCGCGCGGCGGTCCAGCCGGAGCCGCGGTGTTGCTCGCGCTGGAAGTCGCAGATCGGCAGACCAAACGATCGACAAACAACAGGTGGCTCCTCTCTTCACCGCTGCACAGCGTCGCGGTCTCAATCGGTACAACGAGGAGACTCCAAGAGGATGGTCGCAGCACTGCATCGATGGAACGTGGACAAACATGCATGCCGATTGGGTCGGAAGACGGCGGATCGGGTCGACGTCTTACAGATTAACTAAGAAGCGATCAGGCGAACCGTCGTCCTTATTACGGAGATGAGGCGCTCTCTTCCACGCTGAGAACTTATCGGGGAACGACCTCGACACTGCTGCGACTCGAACCTCAGTTCGGTCTTCACCAAGCCTCAAATCGTCATGAACACGAATGTGTGCAATGATTGGAGGGTATAAGATTCGAATCGCCGCCGACCAATTCGATAAGGCGAGAAATCTGACCTTTGAGCTAAATCTGAGAATAGCAAAATATGCTGCCCGTCCAATTAAGACTGAAGCTTAGTTTCCCTCCGATGGATACCGCGGGCTCGATTTCACCGATGCGAGAACACTTCAAGTCCCGTCAGAGCTCATACCTAGAAACTCCTCGCGTCCTGAGAAGGCATTGGTCGCGGACAATGGCCGGATTCTTGAGAGCACTCGGGGGAAGCGTCCGTTGACCTATCTCCATGGTCATTACAATAAATCAGAATGTCGCCGACTATACGAAGCTCGGAGGAGCTGCGAGTAAACATCCACGGCGGCATGTGGGAGCGTCACTCCGAGGCTTAGCATACAATCAGCCAGGTCGGAACAAATCCCTATCAGTTCAGTCGAAACTTTCGGCTCCGAACATAATCAAGCTCCGAAGGCGAGGTCGCGACCGTTGCTCTGAGATTTTCTCTTCCGAGCATCCGTCAGCGCCTCCGCGAATAAACCTAGAGCCCGTGGCTGCTGTTCATTGGAAGAACACCCGAGTGTACCGAATAATGACGGCCTTGGTCACACGACCGCGAGCCGAACTTCTGTTGTGGTGCAGTCCCAACAGGAAGGGTCCTTAATAGGAAACGATTGCGATCCTCTTGTGTGGGATCGAGGCAACAAGTAGTAGCCTTCGGTTGTGACAACTGGTTCCTCTTGCTGGAAAACGGGAAACCCGGTTGCCTTCACAGCACCCAGCTCCTGCCATGTGTTCCCCGGAGCTACTCAGCGTCACCGACGACAGCTTCCAGCAGAGCGCTCTATTGAAATCTGAGTTCCCCGATAATGGCTCGAAGAACTCTTGGCAGACTTGTGATTGGTGCGGATCCTGCCCATCGATTGTAAGCGTTAGCCGTGAGAAATTCCCTTCCCTTCGCAATCGGACTCACATCGCGTCGCTCCTCTATTTGAGCGAGGATTTCTACGCAGGAAGCGGCGGTCGGAGGCATTAAATTATAATTTAATATCGTTTCTCTTTCCAAGAATAAATATTCCACCGTACATTTCCACGGAACAAAAGCCAGTTGTGCGCAGCAGCTCGATCTCAGCCCCAGATGGGCGGCCACTGGGGCACGGGAGGGGGCTGCGGAGTTTGCGAGCCCCCCGTACCTCCGCGAGGGAAACTATTTTCATTGAAGATGGTTCTGCCGGTTTCTTTCCTGGAGATCTCATTCACCATGGATGCCGTAGCTCGATACCACTCCTCACCGACCGCTTGAATCTGACTGGCTGGCAGGAGGAATCCAAAACGACCTTTGTCGCGGAGTTCGATGGCGAATGCGTATTTGATGTTCGCGCCTTCGTGAGCCCAATCGGCGGCCCCACCAGCTGCCGGCGAGAGCAGCTGGGTCACAGTGCCAACTTGGTAATGCAGGCCGCTGTAGGCGCTGATTGCACGCTGTCCCGCCTGGGCTACTTGCAGCTGGTCGTTGTAGTGTGCGCTCTGGATTCTCGGCCCCGCGCCGTAGGGCAACATGATCAACTGACTGTACGAGTGAATCGTTTGGAACATCTTTATGCGTCCTGTAAGAGATTGCACTCCACTTCTGACCGCCTGGGACTCCAGTTCGGAGAATGGCCCCGGTCCTCGGTAAATGTCCGAGCACACGTCTCCGCTAGTTCCAGGACCACCAAACGCGTATCCAAAGTTCCGATTCGGGTCCACACCCTGACAGCTGTAGCCCTGGAATCGGACCCGGTTCTTGCGCCACATCCGATCCCCAGACCAAGTCCGCTCGTAGCCGTCCGGGTTTATCAGGGGATAGACGTGGAAATCGTAAGCGTCGAGCAACGCTTTAACGGTGGCGTCGGTTTTCGCTCCAGTGACCAGCTTGTTTATGATGTACAGACTCGTGGCTGGAGCTATCCATTCCCTAGCGTGGATACCGGAGTCGAGCCAAATAACAGGTTTCTGGCCTCCACCGGACGCGATTTGTAGACCTGAACGGAAAAGTTTATTATAGACTGCGGAGAGGTGAAGTTCCCTCATCCCATCTCGAGAACTAATAAAAGAGACCATCGATTGGCAGACTCAAGCAGGTGGGAAGCTTCCCGACTTCCGTTCTCGGGGAATCACTTTTTACCTTTGATCTGTCTTCCTTCATAGGTTGAGCCGATGGTGTTCAGGGTAGCAATGTCGGAATAACGGCTGGCGATCGCGTCGAGATACGCGGAAATCTCGTCGTATGAGTGATACTGATTCAGTGCGAATCTCGCTGGATCACTTCCCACCAAGAACAAATTCTGCTGTCTGTTCTCCTCTTTTTCATGCTGAATCCAACTCTGGAGATTTTTCGTCGCCAGTGTATACGAGAGATGGAACTTCTTCAGCTGCTTCTCGACTTCATCGACAAGAGCCGGAGGCACTCGAATCGATACGTTCCTGGACACAAACACGGGATTCCAAAAGTCGAGTTCGTTACGCTCCTGCTCGAGCTCCTCCAGTCCTTTCCGCTGGTGTTCGTTTTCGACTGCGGCGACGAAGAGGTGGTGGTCACCATAATCGACGACATCCAAGTCGTCGGCCCCGTATTTCGCACGGGCCTCCTCGTACGGGAGCACTTTCGGTGTCGATTCTATCCTCGGCAGGGCGTAGATCGAGCCCACCACAGCCAGTAGGCAGAATATTCTCGTTTGCATTTCTTTTTCCGGTCAGTTTGCATTCGCAACGACGAAAGATCCGCTTCGTCTTATATAGCAAACTTCAGCGGTCGAATAAATCAGCGGCTCGTCTCCCCGGAAAGTTCCAGCGGTTCCACTTTCTCCCTCCGCGGGTCTGCCAACCCTTCACCCGATCGGCGACGCCGACGTTGTTGTTATCTTCTGCGGTGGAGAATATCCGGATCCAGATACGGACACCATGTCTTCCAGCTATTGTGACCGGGTGACGTTTCCAACGTGAACCGGGTCATCTGCGCGTGATGAAGGAGAAGCGTCCGTTTTCGGCGCATTTGCAGCTTCGGTCAGAGAGTTTGAGGCCGTGATGCAGTCCAGCGGCGCATCATTGGACTGTTGGCTAAGCACGAAAATATATCCATCATGACTGCTACTGAGGTATCTCTCTGACTGTGAGACGTTCACCAAAATGGAGAGAGCGGATTCGTCCTCTTGAGATATGAACAAGAGGACGCTCGCTCCCACGGTGCCGTTCGCGGAGCTAGTCTCGCTCGGTCTTCCCTCGGAATGGATTCGAGCGAGTATACAGAGACTTCGACTCGGTGCACAGAGAGACACGGGCGGAAAGTTCTTCAACAGTTACAGAAACAGCTCGGAGGAAAATTCTGCAGCGTTGTCCTCGTGTCGAGAGACGGTCAGAAGTTCAGTTGCCACAAGGGCGTTTTGGCGGCGAACTCGCACGTACTCGAAGAGAAACTGACCAAGAGCGGCAAGTCGGACAAATGTCAAATGCAGCTCGACATCAACGGTGATGTTCTCGCGGAGCTAGTCAATTACTTCTATTCGGGAGTCGCCCGATTCGACGAACTCAACTGCATCGAACTTCTGGAGGCATCCGCATCTCTCGCGATAACGTCACTCGAGGACGAGCTCAAAATGTACATAGGAAACATCGCTCGTAGCAATATGGAGGATTTCATCAAGAGTGATTTATTCTTCCGCTTGCCTCCCGATATCATGGATGAGACACTGAGTAACGCGCTGATCAGTGTGATCGCAGGACGCCGAGAGCAGGTTTTGGAAGTGGTTAAAGCCCTCGCAAAGTGGGCGAATGCAGATCATCTGACCAGGTTTGAAGTTTCCCTCCTATTCTCCCTGAGGTCGTTGACGCATTTATGCCTCGAGATACCATGGTTTCCAAGTTTTCCTGAAAGAAAACTCGCTTGCTGACGCATCCGGGGATGTTTCCGCCCATGTTGAAGTTCCCCGCCCAGAGCTTACTGGCAGATAATTTCCTTGCAGATCAGGGACGAACATCAAGCTGATAGAGCGCATTCAGAATTTCAAAACCCCCACGAGACAGCTGTCGTGTCCTGAGAAGCCTCGCCGGCCGGCGCCAGTGCCTCCGTCGCCGTCGCGGAGCAACTCGGTCAATCAAGTATTGCACTCGACTCCTTTGCCTTTGGTCCGGACCAAATTATCGTTGAACATTCCTGAAGAGAGCACTCTTTCCCACTATGAACGTGAAATGAGAGACGTCATTGACAGGCTCAAAATGAAAAATATCGGCCTCGATGACGATGACGAAGATTTTGTCGCAAAATTGTGATGTCGGTGCAATATATCCCGCGAGATTCCCGGGATCGGGAGACTTCCAACCCGAGGTCCCCATGAGGGACATGATGTTCCGAATCACTGACTCCCGTGAGGCGATTCGAGATCTCGTGTTCGAGTGACGGGTAAGGCCTGATGGTCCAAGACGAGGATGATCGAGTGAGGCTGAGGAGGAAGCAGCGCTTTGATAGAGGCCTCGCAGGAAGGTGTACTCCCTTTCGTCTGAAGGAGGGAGCTTTCCATCTAACCTATCGTCAATTGTCATCTGGGACAACTCTCCAAAATTGATTCTCGCCCTTGATTCGTCAACTCTCGGGAAACGCGCAAGAGAGAGACTTCCCTACCCTACTCGATTCAAGTCAGTCGCCATGAATACCGCATATCCTGACATCGCCATCGGAACGTGGAATTCCAGATAATAATTATTTGAGGCTGTCTAGTGTGCTAAGATTGCCGAAGATACCCTCGGGTTCCAGTACTTAAGGCATACATTCAAAAGTAACTGTGGATGCAGAATAAATGTTGAGAGGGGATGGAAGGTGATTTGTTCATCATGAGGAGCTATTTCTCCGAGGACGAGGAGCCGACACATATATAACATGCCGAAATGCTCGAGGAAATGTTCTGGCCACAGATGACGGCTCCTGATGGTTATTCATAATTTATCTAGAATATCGATGTTGTGAAAATGATACGGGAACTCTCTTCGCAACTCTCTTCTAGTCTCACGATGCGGTAGCACAGATCGTGACAGTAGGCTCTGAGTTACACATTCCCAACTTTTCTCCGCCCTGTGGAACCCCCCTCGATGACCCATGGCACCCGAACTTGTTGCGTGAGTGTGTCAGTGCTCGGTCCCTCGGAGTTTGCCGTGGGCTGAAGGTTACGATATCACGTTGAACGGGAAGAGTAATAGGTGAGCGACCATGTATGGGGTCCGTGCGAGTTCTCCGCTAGTGCTCCTTGGGTGCGTTAAATAGCCTGAAGTGAACATCTCCACACGGAGCTCAGGGGCCGAATTACGCGACTCTTCGCGCGTAGACAAAGGCAAGGAGGCGTATGGAAGGATATACGACTTTTTCCGACGGCGCGAGCCGATTCCTCACCTCAACAGAAACCCCGGCTGAGACCCACGAAGGAATTTTGGCGAAAACGTTGACTTTTTCGCGTGTGGCGCCTTCGCACAGCCTGAAGTCTCGATCCGGCTAATCGACGGTGACCCTTGTCGGATAGCTCTGCACGGCAAATCAACCTTTGGCAGAGATATTCTGAGAAAAGACCTAACGGTCGATCCCGTGAGCACGGAGTGCATCGAGTATTATTTATCTTCTCCTGGTTGATGATCCCCACCGTCATATTCCATGAATGGAGCTCCATCATCGTTCAGGAATGATTTCACTGATAAACAAGTGCGAGTACGGCTCGTTGCTCTCCGCAACGGCACGAGTTTCATAGGAATGACTCACTCGATCAGCTTCTTGAAATCGTACGCACGTCTATCGCTCTCAAAATCAGGTGTTTTCCCGATGTAGGTGCTCCACACTCTACTGTGCCGGACTATTGATTGGTTCACGATGAAGGCCCGCAGCAAAACGAGTCGGATCACTCGAAGCAAGAACCAACATTCTATAATGAGAACCGATGAATTAAGGATATCCACAAATGGTGTCTGCCCAGTCGGTGAAACATCCCCGTAGTAATTGATAATCGCTCTTAGTTGGAAGTGCGCGGATCCGTCGTTGCCGCTAATTCATTCGACAATCAAAGCTGAACACCGCGCGACAGCGGCGTGACAACAATGATATGCACCTTAGTCATGGGGGAATCCAGTGCGCACCGCGTAAGGCTTTCCGAGAGGGAAGACGCGCTGACAACTTTCAATATATGCGGTACGCACGACGGATTGTAGAAAGAGCCAAGCCACAGGAAGCCTCTCCACCGATACCCGCACACAGCCAGCGCAGTCGAAGCGAGTCTCTATCCGATCCTAGGAGAATCTCCACCGTACCACAATCGACGGAGGCCGTACGACCTCCAACAGTGATTTCGTGATTCTCGCCGTTGCTATTCTGTAGGAAGTTGTGACTGTGGGCTGTGAGTTCTAGGCCGCGTCCCTGAGTCTAGTGAGTTTCCCCTAATTCTCCCCACCGTGATCCGCGAGTATCTTAGACGTTAGTGGAGCGGCTAGGGTATCGATGCAGATCTTACGAAGCGACCATCACAGAAACGCCATGATCCCGTTGAGCTTGTAGAGTCGATGTAGCTTGATTCGTCTCGGATCCACCGTCTACTAGCGATCGGAAACTCACCTTTGACTCTCCACGTGGGCGCGATGGATCGCTTGTTCAATCCGTAACAATCTAAATGTAGTCTCTTTGATTTAGCGCACTTGCGATGCGCTCTCGTTTACCAATCTGCATCACTGAACGCTCAGATGGCTCTGACAATGTTCCCTTTGCATCATCGGAGCTGGTCAGCCGACTGGCTCGTTTTGAACCACATAAACACTGATAGACTGCTATTTCCGAATTCGGCCGTCGGTCCGGAAAACCAATGATCACATCCTCCGCTAGATCCTCCGAATAAGGACCGGTCCACGTCGAGCGTCGTCCCTCATTGTCCGGGATGCTCTGCAGACAGCTGCGGTCTTGCGGAGGAGTTCCGAGTACGAGTTCGATTTGCAATATAAGGCGTCATCGACAAGGCGAAGCGCTCATCGATTCAGCTTTGCAGGGGATGCTCGAGAAATTTAAAATGGAGCTTGAGCCTCCTCGCGGCTTGATACTGTCCGAAAAGTAGTTATTTTTGGACATCGAGAGAGAGAGGGAGGGATACTCCCGGTCCAGAAGGAGAATTCCCGAGTTCCGAACTTCCGACAGGTTGTTTGCGCGCGTGGCTTGCTTCCTCACCCCCTGGCTCCGTCGAGTCCGCGATCGCTGCGGCAGGATCTGCTCGGAGGAAATCTAAAATCGGCTCCGCAAATGAGGGTATGTAATTGCAAATGGATGAACGCGGCACCCACAGCGGCGCGGCAAGCGACCCCCTTAATATACCGATACGTGCCCGTGAGGAGCACCGCCGGTCTCTCACACTCGACCATCAGCGCGTCCACTTTGCTCTGTGATAATCGTTGACGTAGAGAATAGAACCACGTGACGTCTCATTCGTCTCAAGATATTTTACTCTATCGATATGGTATCCTAGTTCTCATGGGAACCCTTGGTATCGATCAGTTTCTGAATGATATTCCTCATCGGATGAGTCATGCCGCTCAAGATCTCTCCGACAAGCGCGACGTGCGCTTCCAAATGTTTTGTGCGTTTAACGATATCCAAAAGAATTTTCGCGAAAACGCGATTCTTGACGAGCATCCCCTCGTGGGTGTGGAACACCTTGCTCAGTCTTGAGAATATCTCTCCGTTGAAGTCCTCGCAGTTCACGACGAGCACCTCGGCCAAGCTCAGCACTCGATCCATTTTCTCAGATGGAATATTTTCGATTTCCTCGGCTAAGCTCTTCAAGAGGAGCGAAAGCGCTCCGAGAGATTCTCTGCCATCGATTGCTTTGAGTGACTTCTTCACAAACGTCTCGAGGGTTCCTCCGAGGTTTTTGAGGGAAGGCAGAAGAATATTCTCGACGAACAAGCGACTCCATCGGGAAGCGAGTTCAGCCCCGTACGATAGAATCGTCGCGCCCACCGTGGCATGTGGCTGACCGAGATGAGCGAACACGAGATGTCGGAAGAGGACAGCCAAGTCACATTGTAGCATTCGATTCGATTTCTCGGCCAAGAAGGACTGAAATTCCGGAAAGGTTCGTTCTCATTATTGAAGAGTCGAATCATAAGTGATCCCGATGATAACGCCACCCATGACAACGACACTCACTTTGAGTAGGAGACAAATTTGATTTGTGGGCAAAGTGGACAGATCGTTGGCCACGCAAGCCAGCACGTCCCCTTGAGTTTCCATCAAGAAGCGGACGTTCACGTGCGGTTCCGATTTGTGGAGGGCCCCCTTCAACTCGAGTACCTTCGTTTGTAGGTCCTCTCCAATGGCTTCGATCGACATCAGATCGTTTTCGGGATCGGATTCGCTCTGATCTGATGTCGCCACCGGACATTGTGTCCCGGCCATGTCTCGACCAACCAGAGGAACATCTGGAATGAGCATCTCTCAATTTTGAGATGAGATTCTGCGTTGAATACATGTGGGACAGGTCGACACCTCCCGGTGAACCCTCTAGATTAAGTTGGGTCAGCTCCATGATTGCGCTCGTAATTAGCGTGACTCGCCTTCGACAGCCCAATTCCCATCCGACGCACTGAGATCCATATCTAGCCACTCTGGCCCAGCGTCCTTCCCTCGATCTTCGATTATGGTGATTTCTAGGTCTTCAACAACTTGGCCGTGCACGATTTCGCGCAAGAGTTTCGCCCTATCCGCGATGGACTTTGCCGGTCGTTGCTGGATGATTCGGAGGAACTTCTCTAAAATCGAGTTCGATGCAGTGATCTCATCGAAAGCAGCGCTGCCCCGCTCGGGGAAGATCAATCCCTCGTAGCCGCCGTCCATGGTGATGCTCTGGAACAGAATTATTCTACTTCGAAGCCGGAGTCGTATGCGAGTCAGAAGCACGATTCCGCGATTTGCATTCCAGCTCTCAGACCGACTGAAGCACAATTTGAGTCGTACGACTTCCGGCGGTACCTTCTCACCTGTAATCGGGAATCGACTTTACGGAAGGCTCAGTGCCCGCGGGCTGCTGCTCGGCGAGAAGTCCTCGGGAGAGGCTACGCAGTCTTTGGGCACCTATCCTCACCGTTCATCCGGCGGATACCCTGTAGGACTAGGACACTCCCCAAAACACTAGAAGATGGATGGTGACAAAGAATTGAAAACAGAAAAGAATAGTGCTAGAGGGAAATGAGTCGAAGTCGACGAGACAGCTGATTGTGGCGCGCAAGTTTCCCTTCCCCCTACATCGAGTGGAGAGGGCGTTTCCTTGGTCTGTAGTCTCTCGCTGTCACTCCTCGCGGTGCTTTTGACATCGCTGAAGGTACTTCGAGATTACACCACGCGACATAAAAGAGTCCGAGTGCCGACGAGTGGGTTTAGACTACTTCATTGAACGCCGGTGCTGATTTTCGTTTGAACTCGCACCGAAATTCAGTTATTACATCATCAGAACGTAAGTGAACTTTTGGCCCGTGTACACTAAACCGGTTCTACGCGATGTCATTGGCGAAGCGACATCACTTCGGTGTTGGTCTGTTCGGCTGGTTCCTTGTGGACTTCCATCACGGAATCCTGCTTGAAAAGGCATCGCAATCTTCTCTTCATACATTGCTGTGTGTAGACCGAAGAAATATCGCCGCGATGGAGACGGGATGAACGCACGCGTAGCTTGAGGTTCATGACGTAGGGAAGTCATAAGTATTCAGGGCGCAAAGATCCTAAGGTGTTAGATTGGTGGCGGAAATACACCAAGAGGAAAAACCCTGGGGTACCGTGAAGCTTTGAAGAAACGTCGATCGTCAGGATCGATCGCGATGATGAATCTCTTTCTCGCCTGAGACAAGAGGTAATGATTCAAAGCCTTTGTTTTCATCCTGGTTTTTCTTGCTGGCCTTCATCGTGCAGACAGAAACTTTGGTCTACGAGTGTCCAGTTTCGCGTAATCTCAATGCCTGAGGCATTCGCTTCCAGCTCCCTGACAATCTTCAACTCCGTAGCGACGCGAACCGACGCTCATGATTTCATGGGATGCCGCAAAGAAGTTTGCCCACCGAACTCGGGGCGGTCTCGGAGCGAGGACGGACATGTTGCACAAGCATGCTAGCGAAAACTCCGTCAGTAAAAAATACTTTTTCGACGTCATGGCTTTTTCTCGGAGCAGTAATTCCGGCTGAATCTCCGGGAGGAATGAATCCTGGTGGACGAGGTACAAAAAGTCGAGATATTCACATTTCTCATCTAAACGAGCCATGGTGTCATGTCAGGTGTCTTTTCTTGGGAGCGAATTACGTATCTCGCTCAGGGCGTTCTGTGGCGGGAGAAGCGGGAAGTATCGCGGCGTGCTGCGAAGACGATCGAGCCTTAGAAACATTTCGTGACAAACTAGAACAAATGTCGAGCGGCCCGAGGAGGCGCGTAGCCAGTGAACACGTGAGAGTGAAGTTCCTGATCCGTGAACATTCCGTGTCTCTCTAAATAGAATCAAGTATCGGCGAGTAACTCGGAAAAAAATCGAATCCGTGAGAAGGACCGGGCTCCTGCAGGGACGACTCTCATTATCGGATATACTTCCTGAGATCTCAAACCGGCTCCCATAAATGAATCTTCCCCCGTCTTGCCACTCCCGGGATCTCGGGAGGCTTCGGTGTGACTCGAACAGGCAGCCGCAGTTCAGCGCTGAAACGACGGATTGTGGCACACACTCGGTGTCTCAGCCGGACTGGCAATAATTGAAAGACTTCGATAGCAGTTTTTCGGATCGTATCCCGAGGATTTCTGAGTCAATCGAGGATCGGCGTTCACTGGCCGATCGAGTCAGCCCTCGATCATGAGCGAGCTCAGCTAGCTCCTCTTTGCGCCCCGAAATTTTCTGTAAGGAATACACGGAAGATGGTCTTCAATATCAAAAAGGATATTGGTCGATGCGAGAGAGACGGAGGAGGTATACTCGAAGTATGAGAGCTCAGCAGCTTTCGGGACAGAGCTCTCAAGTCGGATCGGAGGCGGTCGTGATACTGTGGACAAGGTCTCTCACCGCATTCCCCCCCTCCGCCGAAGGCGCGATTCCCGAGAGTTGGACGCCCAGGAATAATGGAACCTCTTGCTTGCAGATCATGATGAAGTCGGCTTTGATAGCCGGAATCGTGGGACTCTTCGTGTGCCGTGCCTCAACTCAGAGGTGAGTTACTCGAGTCCACCTGACCGATAGGGTATCTGGCAACCCGTACGAACGACTGGTGCTCAAAGACGATTTCTCGCTCCATCGTCTCTGGCCGCAAAGATAGACAGCTTCTAATCTAAATGGAATCTGAGACTGGTTCACGAGGGATGAATCTATTTCGGAAATCTGAGAATCGCCATCGATCACCAGTCGCAATGCGAAGAGCTAAAGACGACGAAAATCGGGATTGAACGCCTTGTAGAGCCCTTCTTTTGGAGCAATCCGACTCGAATGGCGATTTTTCTTTTTTCCTTCGCGGGAAAACGAATGGCGCTCGCTCATTGCTCGATTAGGACTGGCAGTTTCCGAATCCCTGATCGAGCTCACGAGGGAAACCGCTTGTCACCGAGTCCGCTTTGCACGGATCCAGAAAATGAGTCATTGTTTCACTTTTGTGGAATATTCCGAGTCGTCACCGCCCCGAAAGACTTGCTGTCGGTGATTGCGATACAAAACGATATTCCGATCGGCATAGTAGGGGAGTTCTTCCCCAGAAGTTTTCCAAACAGTGAGTTGCTGGGAACAACGAAAGGAACTTTTGAGCGCAGTTTCCTCCGTTGTTGCCCATCATTAGGTCCGAGGAGACCGCTCTATCGATGACAGTCGACATCGATCGCCTCAGAAACTGTGATCACATACCTACATATGCCTTGAATTTATCCGGAGTTCCCCGATTTCACCATTATTCCGTTCGGCCATCGATTCTACGACTCGAAGCTGTGCGATGTATCAAAGTCCGTGATTTCCCAACCCGCGGAATTTTCTCTTGGAATCACTTTGCTACGCGACACGGTTCGCGTGAGCAGTTGCCTGGATAGTGACACTTTCGGTCGTAATGGCCTTAACACGGAAGTTTTCTGTTGTCGCAGAAAAATCTGTTAGGTATTGTCTGAGCGGTCTCTTCTTATGTGACGTCATGCACAGCCTTGGAGCGAATAACACGCTCGGAGATGAGCGCTCGAGTCGAGTACGGACATAAAATGACCCATCAAAACTTCCTCGCTCGCCATAAAAGCCGACTGTCAGAAGCCCAGCTTTTATCAGAAGTGATCGGAGTTACCAGACCTAAGCGGCTAAGGATCTCCTAGGATCCGAGTGCCCAGGCTAGAGTGAATAATGTTGACTGCCTTGCTTGTGACTCATGTTTGGTACGCATTCATTCTCTCAGTCCATCGCCTGCTCGATACAGAACGTCGTCTCGGAATCGAGAGACTCGGAGAAATGTTCCTTGTCACGTTCCCTGTCCGATTTCCAATGAATGAAAGCCAGATTCCGATTAAGCGTCGGACGGACACACTCTTTGAGCTCATTGTCTTTTTCATTCCTTTCCGGTCAGCTCGGCGAATTTCAGCGCGTTCTTGCTCATGCCCAAAACAATCTACCAAGGAGACCGTAATTTCTTCGTCCTCGAGCTGCAGAATCAGAAAGTGGACGGCTCGGCGAGGATCAGCATCGTCGACCAGAACAACAGCACTATTCAGTACTATCAGAGAACATTTTCCATTCCGAAAAATGAAGGACCTACCTTCAACCTCGATATCTCGGATCTCGTACTCAGCGGAGTCGACCAGGTAGGTTCCTCCAGATTCTGTGTGAGCGAGACGTGGGTGAAGTATCCCGAACAGCTTCCTCATCCTCCCCTCAGAAGAGCGGGATTATTCGCTGACAGAACAGCTCTTCCAGCCACAGGGAAGCATCTACAGCACTGTGATCCTCGAAGGCACCTTCGGCTCTACCGTCATCAAAGAGAACAACACCATCAAAATTCAGACGGATGATCCCCTCTTGTTAATTCAAACGGATAAGAAAATCTATAAGCCCGGCCAGAAAGGTAATCTGAAATCCAGATCTCCCGGCAGCTCCTACGGACATGGTCAATGCTAGACAGATGAATTTTCAACGTTCAGACCAATATTTCCAGTCTTCCTCCGAGTCATGCCTCTGAGCGCAGACTTGAGGCCGAGGAACGGCGGGATGATCAGCGTCTCGGTGAACGATCCGCTAAATAACGTCGTCGCAAACTGGGCCGATGTCAATTTTACCGATATGGTGATGCAGTTCGACTTCCAACTAATTTCCGAGCCAGCTCTCGGCGCCTGGTTCATCAATGTCCGTTACGAGGAAACCAGTCTCCCATCGGTAAGTCTCGGCTCTCGCATTGCGCGTCGTCCTAAAGATGAGGCCAGAGTCTCTCGAGGAATGCGTCGCATAGACACGGGTTGTATGTCGACGAATTTCCAGGAACTCGGGATTTCGAGAACTCAATTCTAAATTCTCCCCTCGGTAAACAGAGCTTGAATAAAACCAGCCCGGTCCTTCAAACCGCCACCTTCTCGGTGTCCGAGTACACTTTGCCGAAGTTCGAGGTCACAATCACTCCACCCCCTACCTTCTCATGGATGCAGAGACGGCAACGTGGAAAGTTTGTGCCAAGTACACCTTCGGCAAACCAGTCAACGGGGACGTGAAGATAAACACTACTCTGATTCGTTATCCCTGGGAGCAGCTGCGAGGAATTCCCGAGAACTACGTCGAGGGTAGACTGGTGAGCAATCTCTGCCCTGCGGAGAAATATCAATTCTGACATTTGGCGTCGAGACCGAGACTCAGAGAAGAATTCCCCTCTAGACCGATGGCTGCTACAACTTGACCTTGGAGACCTCGGCTCTCAACCTGACGAACCCTTCCTTCGAGTACCGACAAGTACGAGTCATCGCCAATGTTTTCGAGGATGGAACGAAGTTGCAGATGAACGCCACGAACCAATTGTCGAGGACGTCGATGCCCTTGCGACTTGCTTTCCAGCCTGACTCATCCGATAAATATTTCCGGCCCTACATGAACACCTATGGAACTGTAAGCTCTCGGACCCTCTTCGACTTTCGGATGGACATTCATTTCTTGTTCCTCTCGTCTTGCTTGCTTGCGATATGGGACGTGTGCTCAGCCGAATTCCAACTGACACTGTTGATTTCAGCTGAGAGTCTCGAGACCTGATGATACGCCCGCCGTCGGGGAGCAGATCGAATTGTGTCTCAACGCAAAATCAGAGCTTTATCAGTACCACTACCAACGTACAGATGTACGACTCATGTGCAAGAACTACACGAGCGATTCCCAAGGAATCGTCAGGTATACGCTGCCCCCACACAAGCCGTCCGTTGTATCTTTCAGCGTCGAGGTTTGTACATTTATCCGAGCATGTACGACGCACGTAAAATTGAGGCTTAGCTCATCGTCAGCCCAATGATGGTGTCCCTTCTTTCGCGCCAGGCTTCGTCCACCCGTTACCCTACGAAATACTACCCGGAGAGTCAGCACAGTGTCATGATCCGACAACCGAGGAGCTCGACGTTCTACAGATCGTTTTTCTCCCCTTCACAACAATATGTGCAATTCGAACCCTTATCCAACGAGAAATTGCCTTGCGATAAACCTGTTCAGTTGACTGCCTATTACACCTTCCGGGTAAGTGACTCCTCAGTCAGTTCTCTGGAGTCGCTCGTGCTTCAAGGAGCGGTGTTTGTTCCTCGCCGACGATGACGAGCGCACGGCTTGGGACACGATTCTGGAACCGTCTTCGAGAATCAGAACGGCGGGAAAAGGCGATCCACCACCGACCCACGACCCACACGATGCTTTGCAGGAACAAGACAAGAACCTTCTGTTCCGATACGTTGTCATGGGCCGATCGAGGAATCTCCTGACTAAAGAAGTGAAGGTCACCGCGCCTCAGGAAGTGGCCGCCCAATCCGATCAATCAGAGATGCTGATTGAGTCACTCCCAAATACGTTCAGCGATATGGCTGCTTCGAGCGACAAGAAAATTGGTCGTCTCCACATCGAGGTGAGAATGATCGTGAGAGAACTCGTGCCATCCGCCGTCCATCTGTTGTGAGAAAGACAATCGAACGATTTCCACGTTTTGAGACGGGTTCATTCGATAATTCGTGGGATAAACTTCCTCCCGGAACGATTCGACTTCAATTATTGGAGCTGATTTCGTCCCCAGATCGATCCAGTCTCTACGCAGTTGCCTCACTTGACTGTGGCTCTCTTCTACATCAATGGAACCGAAGTCGTGGCTGATAGTATTCGTGTTCCAAGGAAGGTGTGCTCTCCCAACAAGGTGGATCTCGAGTTCTCTGAGAACGTCATCCAACCGGGAGCTAATGTCACGATGAATCTGGAAGCCTCGCCGAACTCACAATGTGGTATCCAGATCGTAGATCGCAGCGTACGACTTCTGAGCGGCTCCGACAACAATCCGTTCTTGAGGTGAGACCACCCTGGCGGAATCGATTGGGAGGGCTCAGCGGGCCTTAAGATGAGGAACTCGACTCCGAGCCGATTAGGGGATTCTTCCTCTCAGCATTCGTCAGCATGATTCGTCGGGTGCTACCGATTTTTCTGCAAAATACACCCCGTGAGATGTATCATACTTTTCGCTTCCGACTCAGGTATCGAGACGACCTACCCAATCGCGAAATTGGCCAATGGGAGCATCCGCAACCAGACACTTACGGCTATTGTCAGAGCAGTGGAGGGCAAAGTGACTTCGTTGATAGCGAGAGCATCTTCTTGGTGAGCGTACCGCGAGACTCCAGCGAAAGAGAGGCGCTCCGAAAGCTTCAATCAACATTCCGATTACTTGTCAGGGAGAACCCTTCTCTGCAAGTTCCACGTTCGTAAACGGAAAGTTTGTTCCCCCATTAAAATCTGAAATCCCTCGCTCAGCCTGCTGGATGGACGGCGATCTTGTACAATATCAACTTGAAGACTCGACCGTGCCGCTCGACCCGCGACGGAGGACCGGACGTCGCGCCAGAACGTATGTTACCAAAACCCTTATAGCGAGAGATAATCATTCAATATCTGATTTCTGATAACGTTAATAGGATCATGGAGTATGGTCCGCAGTCGGTCTGGGAGAATTCCGGCAGGAGAGCGCGCGATGACATGAGTGTCGGGGTGTAAGAAACTGTCGGGTGTTGGACTTTGTTGATCTAACAGGTCGGTGTTGACAAGCCCCGTCGACAATATCGACTCACTGGGTGGAACGAAGGGATTCGTTGTTCGACTATAGGTTCTAACAGCAGAGTTTCGTCCGGCAAAGCTGCGCTACGCACGTTGAGTCGCGGAGCTGCCGGTGCGCCGCCGGCGGCGGCAGCCTATGGAGTCGCTGCTCGCGGCTTCCGTGAGTACACTGATGTGTGGTGATGTGCGGTGGAGGCCTTCCGAGCTACGGACCCATGCTCGGAGCTTGAGTTGCACCGTAATAAGGTGCTCCGCGCGCGAACTATACAGAGAAACCCGATCGCTTGATTAGGATTGATTCCCGTCTCGATCTTACACATTCTTTCAACTGTTCTACCTCAGTCGTCCCGCGAAACTTCCGTCCGGCGGCTGCTTCCGTCTACTCGGCGCCTCGTCCCGCATCTTTACAGCGACGGCCGTCAGCGAGAATGCCCCCGGGTTCTGGTACAGCCTCCGGCTATATCTCTATCTGTATCCGCCAGCCTCTGTCTCCCTCCAAAACCGACACTCATAATTTCACAAACCTGATTAATATTTCCGTCTTCGTCTATCATGCACCCCCTGAGCCTACTCCAGACCGTCTCTATCCACCGTGGGAGCGAATCGTTCCGGGAAGTCGGAGCTCGGAAACAGATGGAGCGCCGGAGAATGAGCGATTCCTCTCGCGGGGTCCCATCCAATCCCCTTGTGGCTTGCGACTCAGGCGCGGCACGTGATCGAGACCCGAGACTCCTCGGTCGCTCCAAGAGGGTATTTACCAAGTCGATGACCTACGGAAGAATCTGTGGACTTTTTAGAGTCGATGGAATCTGTAATCACCGCCCACGCGTCGGCGGCATTCGCACCGGCCGCGACGACCAGTAATTATAATTTTTCTCCTCGAATTTCGCTCTGCCGGTTAGGTGATTAACAATCGTGCAGCGGCAGGTGCCGTCTGTCGGATTGCGCCGGGGAAGAAATCGATGTCTTTCGTCGACGTGAGGGAATGCGGGGCGTCTCGACCCGATAGGGGGCATCGAGTGCTTGGGTACGGTGCAGGTTTCGAGGTTCCGTCGCGTCGCCTGGCATAGCAGGACATGGGCTTCAGTAGGGAAGGCAGCAAGGGTTACGATCAATCTAGCCGGAGAAATTCCTACGATGGAGACACGCAGTCTGGTGCGAGCAGCCACTTCGTCCCGAAAAAAATCTCCCCAAGAAAGAGAGCCGTCGTAAAACTCCAAGGAGACTATTAGAAGAATTGACGACGCGTATTTCCAGCACGAGCAGAGAGTCTCCACGGGGGAGGAATCCAGAAGAAAACGCAACACAGACTTTACGCACCCCGAGTGGACCCAACGAGTCCTCAAAGTTAGTCACCTCGGTCCTTCATTGGGTCGGAATCGAGCTCCTCCACTGCTGAGAAACTAGAGATAGCGCTTGCTCTCCCCCCTCGAAGCTTCCGGTGCTTTACACACAAGTTTTTCAAGGTCGCTCGCGATCCGCCTCTATCGTGCTTCATTTTCTTCGGAACCCAATTGTCAGAAAATCTGACACATCTTGGGAGTCCCTTGGATTCTAGCTACGGAATCGACAGCTCGCTCCGATTTAGCGAAGCTTGCCGTCACAGTCGTGCCTCAGGGAGGAACTATCCTTGCAAAACATCACTTTTACATGCCGCATCAGGTGATGAGGATGCATCCAGCTCGATCACCTCGATACCACGCCTTGAATATCAGATTCGCCCCGAGGAGCTATGGAGACGACAGATCTTCCTGAGCTCTTAGTGAGTTCTTTAGAGTGCCACGATTGAGTGCTCGCTGAAGCTGAAGATTATCATCTTGGCGTCGACGATAAAATACCGAGGCGCTCTAGCCAGATCTCCTAGCGCCTTGATTCTCCGCCTCCCGAGACTAGTGCACCGGTGTCCCCAAGCCGTCAGGGGCGTTTGCATCTAGGGATGGCCCCAACTCGGATAAATAAGATCATTCGTGGAAATCACACAGATTTTTCTCGTCCCTTACCAACGTATGTACATTGCCTCTGCAGCCGTCGCACTCAAAGTAGGCCAGGCTCCCGAGGCTTTCGAAGGGGCGGCATTTGGTGAGTGGAGTGCATGTACCGATTGGAATTCATTCCAAATTAGCGTAGATCTCGAGCCGCAGAAGAACGAGGCGCTCACAATGGCCAGAAGCTCGGGTTATGCACAAGAATCCAAACCCCCCTCTATGACACGCGGTTTCGGAGTCAACCCTGGACTTTTTGCCTTGAGCAAAAACCCGCACGGTACTGACCAACACCGTAATGAGTTTGTGTGTTCAGGTCGGCGCAGAATGAACATACGGTCCTCAGAAGCTCCCAGAAGGGCCTTCAAAAATCGCGTACACAACTAAAGCAACAGCATGGCTTTCGATTGCATGGGCGCTCTGCGCGTGAACGGCTTTTCTGTGCCTCCGTCTTCTTCCGTGTCAGCACAACCGCATGTTATTCTTGAATCGAGGCGAGTGAGCAGTCGAAGCAGATCATCGTCCGCGAGGAATAATTGATCATATTCGATTACTGCCATTGTTGCATCCGTTCTATTGTCTGCGACGAGCTTCCTTGATTTTCTGCAAAGAACGACTCGGGTGGCAGCCTTGGCTCGAAATTCCCTCCGGATGCCTCTCATCGGAGCCCTAGCCGGATCGATTGATATTTCGGATGATTTTGCGGAAACAAGAATCCTCTTCTGCTGTCTCCAATGATGCCCCGAGCACTGCATGGCTTGTTCCCCCTGCACAAATTTCACCAATAGACTCTCTTCGAACGGAAATCCGATTGATTCTCATCCTGCAGTGGCTCCGAGTGCGTCACGTATCGGCAACGATTTCGGCGGAGTGACGGCCACCGCGACGCAGAGCGTGGTTGACGTTCGCGACTACTTCCCTGAACTTTGGCTCTTCGATATCTCCGCGACCGAGTAAGTTATGGTGCCTGCGGAAGAGACCTCAGTTCGCTCAGACCCTTGGGACGAGAAAGAGGAAGCCCCATCAGCGGAGGAAGCTACATGGTGATTTCGTTTCCAGTGGAACCGGAAAGCTCTCCCGTGCGCTCACCGCTCCGCACCAGGTCACGACCTGGAACGCGGACGCCGCTTGTATTCACAAAACCGATGGTCTCGGGGTATCCCAGAGCAAGGAAATCAAGACGTTCCAGGCATTCTTCGCCGACGTAACGCTCCCGTACTCCGTGAAGCGATTGGAAGTTCTGCCAATCATAGTCAGCGCCTATAATTACCTGCCTCAGTGCATGCCGGTCAGTGTCCCTCGCCAGGGTCGAGTCTTTGGGACGCTCCCGTCGAGACATTCCATGCTGCATTCCTCCCCACGTTCCGGGATCAGAGCTGCTGGAGTTGACATTCGGAATTTTGCAAATCGTCTCAGGTTTCGATCACGATAGACCCGATCCCCGGCTTGGAGCCCAGGACTCCTCTGAAAACCGAGGCTTGCGTTTGTTCTGATTCATCGCCGTTCCAATACGAGCTTCGAGTTGCTGTCACAAACGAAACGACCATCGGGGACATCGACGTTACCGTTACAGTCATGAACTCGGATAACATGGCCATCTGCAAAGACAAACCGGATGCTAAATCCGTTCCATCGAGAGACAAACTCACGAAACCCTTGAAAGTTGTACCTGAAGGTAATTATATCGTTGGTTTCGACTTGAACAGCGGGATGTCGTCAGTGACCTTCTCTTTCAGAAGCCCTCAGGGGAAGCCTTCTGAGGAGAAATTTATTCCCGACAGGTTTCATGGTCGAGAAGATTGACAGTTTCCTGCTGTGCCCGCAGACGGGAATCGGCAAAGCCAATTTCGATCTCGTCGCTCCCGAAAACGTTGTTCGAGGCTCGGCGAGGGCTCTGTTCTCAGTCAGTGGGGACATCATGGGACAATCCACATCGAATTTGGACGACCTGATCGTGTTACCGACGGGCTGCGGTGAACAGACCATGGCGAAGTTTTCATCGAACCTAGCTATTCTGAACTACTTGAATGCGACCGGTAAACTCGACTCGAGCACCGAGAAACGCTTCCGTACCAATCTCAATCGAGGGTATCAGAGCGAATTGACTTTCCGTGCACAAGACGGATCTTACTCTGTTTGGGGAGGATCGTGGGGTCAGCCATCCTCCTTCCTCACGGCGATGGTGTACCAGGGCTTCAAACGTGCCCACAACTTCATTTTCATCGACGACGATGGCTTATCGACCACGTATAATTATCTCCTGGGCACCCAAGATCGGGTCAGCGGCTGTTTCAACAAGATCGGGAGTATCTACAGCTGGGCACTACGAGTGAGTTCGATGTCTGGGATTATTCTGTACCTGATTGGCTTCGCTGAAACATCATCGAGCAATCTCATCCCCGAAACTTTTCCTCCCGCAGTCTTCTGAAAGTGCATCTGACACTCGCGGCTCGTACACAGCTTACGTTCTCGCGGCGCTCCACGGTTCTCTTACGAACAAGACTCGAATCGAGAAAGCTCTTCTCTGCGTCAAGGCGCAGAAGAATCTGAACCAACACGCTCTCGCCCTGAGCGCCTACACGGCGGCGCTATACAAGGATAACGACCTGGCGAACAAGTATCTAAGCGATCTGAAAACTTTCGAGAACAACAAATTGCGTGAGTATGCTCGTTAAATCTGACTCCTGGCAGAGGACCCTTCGAGGACCGTAGAGTCGCTCTTCATCTCCCAAGTTCAAATCTCTTTCCGACAGCGAACCAGAGGTTCTACCACCCGAGCGATAGCTATGCGCCGCAATCGATAGAAACGAGCGCGTACGCCATTCTGGCTCAGCTAACTCTTAGCGGAGCCGATGCTATTCAAGAAGTTCAACCGATCGTGAGATGGTTGGTGAAGAAACAGAACAGAAATGGAGGCTTCTCTTCGTCGCAAGATACTGCCATCGGTGAGTGAAACGTCAGAGGAAGCCTCGAATTCCAGAGATGCTCACTGGAGGCTCCTGTGTACCTCGTCTCGATCCGAGGATCAGGATGCTCCGACCGTCAATGGATCAGAGTCGGCAGACTCTTGAGCATTATTCGAAAATAATTCTCTAAAACGCTCATGTCTCCTCGAAGGTCTGCAAGCGTTGTCCAAGTTCGCCGAGCTTACTTCCAAGGATCAAAAAAGCATGGACAACAAGATTCACGCGAAGGGTCAGAACTTTGAACAGAATTACGCCATCAACGACAAGAACGCCATATTCTGGGATACTCGAATCCTGAATACTATCCCGAACAATTTGATTGTGACAAGCGAAGGGAGCGGATGCGTGGTAGCCACGGTAAGCAGCGTCACCCTTTGACTTCCGAGGTTATTCTCATATTTCCATTCAAACAAGGGCGCTCCTGAAAATTTCCGGAAAAATAAATCCGAATGCCCGAATATTTCAGTCTCAACTCCGTTACAACGTTCCGTCGGTTCCGGGAGAGACCGGCTTCCTCTTCAATGTCACTGTTACCAAGGCTTCAACCAAGAGGAATGTAGTTCTGGAGCTTTGTGCCTCGTGAGTAGGCTCCAGTGCATTGAGATACTTTTCTGGAGGTGGGGAAAGGAGTCGAGCTCGAGGGGATATCCAGTGACCCCGTCTCCGGGTTCGCAGGTACGATAAAACCGGTGGACAACCGTCGAGCATGGCAATCATCGAATTGACTCCATTCAGTGGTTACGATGTCGTGAAGCCCTCTCTTGAAGCGATCTTGTTCCGGAACGAGATCAAGAGATACGACGCTGACGGTCATCCCATAATCTTGTACTTCGATGAGGTTTGAAAGCTTTGAACTTTATCAGATGACATTTGAACAGATTTCCGACAGTATTCTGAGCACCTACATTTACTTTCCCCTCGTACCAGTTCACGGCGAGCCCGAGATGCGTGACGCTGGAGCTTGAACAAGCTTTCGCAGTAGAGAACCTGCAGCCCGCGATCGCTACTGTCTATGATTACTACGACAAGAGTGAGTTTCTCTGATTCTGCCGTCGCGTGTTCACTTTAGCTTCTTCCGCGGAGAATTCTGCCTCCCCCCGAGAGAGCACTCGGAACATGACCGTTCCGCTGAACTCGACACAAGCTTGGGAATTCATTCCGAGTCGCGAGTCTTGAGCAATTCCCGCCAGAGAGGTGTGCCTAGAAGCTGCCCGCCGATTTCTGGGGCACTTGAGTCGCGCCTTAATTAAATAATTTCCCTTCGCGGCCGGAGTTGAACAATGGGGGAAGTGCTGCGCAACAGATTAGTCCCAACAAAATGCATCTGATAAGACTCAGTCCGTGTTGAAACAGGGCCCAGCAAGTATGATTGAGGCGGAAAAATGATCAGAAAGTTGCCCAAAACTCGGGATGAGGGTCAGATCAATCCGGATAATAACCATTATCGCGCGTCTAATCAAATAAGGAGCCGCTCCGATATGCGAAAAAAGTCTACACCTCCAATCCAGAAAAATCTGCGAGCCGAATGCTTCGGAAACTGAACGAGCGAATTTTTGCGGAATCAAGAGTCTTATTCTCGGGAGACTCCCCAGTCCTCCGTTTTTCCATGAGTTCGAGCTCTGATCGCCAGGGATGAATGTCGGCAGAAACAAGTGAACTAATCGGGTGATATTTTCCAGGCAATAAGAAATCGGTGGAGTACAAGAGAGGAGACCTACCGACCGAGAAAGACAACGAATAGTTCCGCCAACAACGGAAGCAGCAGAACGAGTGCTCCACCTGCCACGATCGCGGCCTTTTACGCCAAGAACAAACACACCGGTTGATTGCATAAAACAGGATAATTTCGTTTCGAGGATAGCATCGGTGTCTTTCACGTTTTATGGTCGCTCTTCCGAAGCTCTTCGGCACCCAAGAAGAGCAAGGAATGGCGGAGCTCTTCGCTTCCGCTCCCGCACTAGAAGCTGGAAGCGTTTGATCGGGATCGCGGACAGATTCTCATGCAAGGTTGCGGGTCGACCTCCGCTGGGATCCCTCTCGGAGTGCCCGAATAAGATATACGTTCACCTCAATTTAGATCAGGGGTCCCCGGATGGGGGTCCTAGCACCGCTGAGGGGTCCCAGAGGTCGGTTAGAATACTTCATGTCATGTTCCTTGGGGAAATATATTCGACAAAGCTTACATGAATATCGACTCGTGAAAACACGTCAGAATCTCTCATCATACTGAGGGAATCAGTTCAATGAAAGAGTGGAAAATATTATCGTCTGGCGAAGCCGCCAAATACTACTCTCGGAATGACTTCGCGAGAGATCCGGACACAGACTTCAGAGGGGTCCCGCGCGAGAAAGAAATCGGGGAGCGCTGATCTAGATCAGCGATGGAGCAATCAAAATGGAGCATTAACCCCCGGTGGCCACCTGAGGGATCGAATCGAAACAATCCTTAGGCCGACTGAGTCTGTGTACTCAGCCCAAAGCCCCCATGGATCGGATGGCATTCCTTTTCCAGGGAGACCCTTACTGGCAGAAGCTGTTTGGCCACTTCTTCTGACTGTTTGTGGAGTGCGATCAATCATCTGTAATTACGTTCAATTCTGTAACAAAGCCGGAAACCTGAAAAGTCTTGACCGGGCACCCGAGATAACGATTCATAATATTCATTCGAGGGGAGGTTCATTACTCTGCGGTGATGATTTGAAAATTGGTTTTGATCTGCAGTCACGCAAAAGCCCAATGCAAATGGTCAAGGTCTTGATGGTGGGATGCGGAAGCTTCTGCTGGAATCCGTTCTCGCATCTAGTACCCATATTCTTTTGCTGTTGTTTCGTACCTGTTCCGAGGCCCAAGTTTACGACTTTCTCCACGGGAAATCGGCGCAGTAACTACCCGGAATGACATAGGCCTCTCTTCGGCGATTCACGATACAGCTACCTCGCGGAGTTAAGTCGACAGGATTCCGAGCAGTCATAATCGTAAGGCAAGAGATGTTTTCTGCCGGCGGACTGCCCTTTATAACGATTGGTATCGAGAAGGGAGGAGACGCAGAGACGAGCAGCGTATCAGACCATTCGATGATTAGCTTTGGAAGGCGCCGCGGCTTATTCTCGCAAGAGCCGAATCTCCTTGGAGTGTGATTCCAAAGTAAATGGTGTTCATGCCCTCCTGAGAAAGAGGGGACGCTTCTGCCATGATCATCTGCTGCAGGAGGTCAAAGAAGCTTGTGAAAATTGCTCACTGAAAAACGCCTCTGTTTTTCGTGTCGGTCAGAATTCTTGGAGAATCGATTTTTTTCACCGGAGGGTCATCCGTACATGCATGACTCTTCTTCGTTGAGAGTCGAAGGCTTAAACTGCAAATCATGATCCGTTATCAACCGTCGGCTCTTCGTTTTCACGCTTGCGCTCGCGTTGCTCGTCACAAGTGACGGCTCAGGCCGCGACTCGTCCCGCTGTGAAACTTCTCACATCGCCATAAAATTTTTCCATCCGTGAACCTTGGTAGTCATTCCTCCCCAAATTCATAAAACAGAGAATCAATCAAGGTCGGTTTCGATCAAAAAAGAATCGTTGTTTCCTGTTATCCCTTGTTGACACAGGATTTGTTGACGGCATTAGATGAGCTTCGGGCCGAGCATTGGCGGACCAACGCTACGATTTAGACTCACGTATCCTGGAAGGCTACGAAAAGATCGAAGAAGACATCGAATGGTCCAGCCGCAGCTGTCGATGGCCGTGCCGCTCCTCCGAGCTTTTCATTGTCTCCGTGATTGAATCGGAATTCTGCTTGTCTCACAACGCCTTACCCATCCCTTGTTTACAAGCTTTTCAACCGAAGTTGCTCCGCACATTTGTAACGTGGCTAGTTTTCAACCTTGGAAAGTTTAAGGTCGTAATATTTCACTATCGACGAATACGAGGAACGATGTTCCTTTTCAAAAAAATTTTCGCCATTCATCGCTACTCTCGAGAATTATTCGAAATGATTGTCGCTCAATCGTTGAGCCCATGTACCGGTGGATTGTCCGAGCCCGTTTCAGAAGAGGATTGGGTGAAGCATACCAGTCAACAACAGATTATTTCCTACTCACCCCACCCTGATTTAATGTCCCTGATCCACAAAGTGAAGCTTGCTGAATTGCTCAATGAGATGCCCGAATGCTTCATTATCTGTGGGCGACAGCTACGAATGGCCACTCCTCCCTCGGAGATATCGCCGTCTGAGGACTATTTGAAAATCTTTGCACAGTCCCGGTGTCAACTCGTGTCCGTCGCTGTCGTCGACGTTCATGTCGTAGCCGGACAGTTACTGAATATATTTTAAGCGTCTGAACATCTGTGGAAGCCGAGGTCAAAAGCGGACTTCGTATTGTGTGCCGAAGCCCACCGCTGGGTTGTTCGTCATCTACTTGAAATTGTCATCCCACCCGTCAAAGATTGAAGCTTCGCTGATCGAACGAGCGGACGGGTGCCTGGTCTGAGCAGCGCGTGTGGTTTCATCTTCCGTGCCGAAAATACAGAACCAGTGATGACAGTCACGTTTCTCGCGAGATCTTGTTATTTCAGAAACACTGCGTTTCGGATACTGTTCGGGAAAGTCATCCAAGAGGGAGATTCCGATAACTTCCACTCTCCCCGAGTGGGAATTCACAATCTGTAGTCAGACGCTCCCCCGGAATCAGCTTCGAGAAGGATTCGACGGGATAGCTGTGAATAATAATACATTGACTATTGACTTCAATTAATCCCACGCTTGTTTCGCTGATCCTAGAGAGTGGGAAAATTCACAGATAGCTCGATCTATGACCATCATGGCGTTAGACTATCGATACCATCGATCCTCGTGTTCACGCAGCGAAGGCATCAGGCTTTGAACCGGTGGCGCCGTTAATATATCATTTGGAAGTCTTCGGATTTGAAAATCCCCTCCTCTCGATCAAGGGGCTCCATGAGATATCAGACGTACAGTCTGATGAGCTTTGCAGGGCTCGAGTGTTTGAGAAAATGGTTGAGTCAAATGATTCGCCACTGACAATAGGAATGTCTCTTCCTCCATTGTCGCCGAGAAACTTCACCGTGACGTCAAGTTCACTTTCTGTGACCGATGCCTCTGTCCACAATGTTCGCAAGTTTTCAGACACTGCAGTTGTCCAATGTTTGTTTCAATGTCCCCGCGGTTTTCAGGATTCTCGGTGACGCTTCGTAAAGCCTAAGCCGGAATCAATGGGAGTGTCTTCATGGTGTCAACGGTCGCCTTGTGGCATTGGAGGCTTTTCTCAAGCGCCAGAAGCGAGGTCGACACCGAAGCTTCTTCCATGTTCTACGTTTCACTCCCATAAGAAGTCGCATAAAAAAGAAAGTCTGATGCTTGTGGTTCGAGAAGTCCCCTCAGTTTGCAAGCGGCCGAATGTCCCCCACCCTGGCCTCACGTACCGGAAAATACATTCATAGTTCCCAAGCGAGTGAAACGGCATCTCTGATCAGAAGTCATAGATTTCGACTCAGACGAATGTAACAAACCACTGCGATATTCCACGCAGCAATCATGGGAGAAGTTCAATCGGAGGCATCATCGATATTCTAGTACCTATAACCGAGTGTCATCGTTGGGCAAGATTTCCATTGACACTGACTTTTACGATTTCTCCACGAACAAGGGGCGCGCACCATGGGGTCGATGATAACGAGCCTGTTATCCTCTCGTTGGCATTGATTCATGGCCATGGTAGCAGTAGAGAACCTGAGCAGAATCCGATGTTTGGCGAGAAGTTTCCCACGTTCCCGAAAGGCGAGCTTAGAATCACCGAAACCTCCCAGCATCGAATCACCACCTCGTGACGAGACGCGGATGTTATTGCTATCCGAATTTTCCAAGATGCAGAGATCCAAAGGTCGTTTCAGCGAATCCTTAAGATTGATGGATCACAATCGGCGTCGAGCTGGCTCCGAGCTCTTCTTGATTGTGTGCGAATTGGTTGCCCCGAACAATAATGTTGACGAGTCTTCTTAGCTGATGTTGGGCCTTGATTCTGGAAACATGACTCGAACTTTGTGGGAAGCGACGCCGCGAGCTCGCTTTGAATTCCTCATGTTTATTCCGCCCGCTAGAGATATCATACAATACATACAGGAGACTCGATATTTACAAAGAACCTACATACACACTCCGTCGACATTTCCAATCGTTTTCTTGTCTAGTCCGCATCTTCCTGACAGGTATCGTCGATCACCAGTCCGCAGGGAACATGAAATCCTCGAAGCCGGTCGAAACGGGGTTCTGATTGTAAGAGTTGGACGCCAAACTGTTCCCTCCGTGATCGAGGGTTCGAACTTGATGGAAACTTCGTACTGTACCGTAAAATTTCTTCGTTGGACCCTGGTAGTCACTGATGATCAACTGCAAGAAATATCGACTCCTTGCATCAAATGATCTCACCGGATAAGGACTTCGAATATAGAGAGAATCTCTCTCGGTCTGAACTCACTTTCTGTGGTGAACCGTATACGTGGCTCGCTACCGCTGGGATTCTATCCACGGAGCTCATGGTGAAACTCGATAAGATGTTCTGGAGTTCGTTCGGACTCAAAGCCATTCCCAGACCGGGGATCGAGGGCAAAAGTGGTCCACTATCGAATCCCGAAAAGTCCTGATCGCTGTACGGCGAATGTGCGGAGGAACCCCCTCCGTAGTAACCACTCAAACAAAGCTGCGCGAAACCGGATAAACACAAAAGTATAGCACACCACATCCTGGGATGAGAACTAGAAACCAGTCGCACGCGGGTGGTCGGATGCGTGTATGAGCGGGATGCAATACCACTTCTATTTGGCGCGCCGGCATAACGCTAAGAAAGGGAACGGAGCAGCGCAACCTTGCGCTAAGCTCATGACGGATGATATATTCGACCGACGACGCCGCCGCCTGCGTTAGCTATATTAACTGCGGTGTTATTCTGCGACCTGACGTCTGGGCTACAGAAACGGGTGGAAACCGAAAATTCTAATCAGTCACGCATCATTCGGGAACCTTACGAGGCGACCGGAACGCCTTGCACAACTCACTCGGACTTTCGGAGCAGGGAGATAAATTCACGATCCCCCCTTCGTGGGAGTTGTGTTATTGTAGTCCGTTATTGCTCGATACACAATTGTGACGCTCTCTATCAGCGGCGTGGTCACAAGGAGCCGTGATCCTTGCATTTCAATGGGCGATTTTCCACCAGAGCATCCTCGTATGATACAAGGGATAAAATCATTCGAAACTCCCATAAAACAACCCGCGTTGTTGTTTCTCAACGTGGCCACCTTCGGGGAGAGCACTGATGATAGCCCACACACACGTGGGGCGTCGTTTTCTGCGGATCATCGCATCTTCACCGTGAGAGCTCAAAGCATCTCCTGTCGGGGAAGCTACGACGCTGGATCGTCTTGGTATCGTAATATCGATGATATCGATTGCTGCTTCGACATTGTCAATTGAGGGCTGGCTCTCCCCCCTGAAGCTCACCAGCGTTGAGTTAAGCCGGAGCGGATATCACTCCCACCTGCCTGATTGTCTTTTCGACACCTCGGTCAAAGCACTGGTCATCGCTGAATTCAATTTGAACTGCAGTCAGAAAAAAAATCACTGCAGAGACGAATTGAGTTTTCGGAAGATTGACGATGGGTTATCGGCACGCGCCCTGTCAGCCATCCTCATCGATGGATATCGCTGATGCGACGAGTCTCGAATCATCGAATATGATGGATTTGTTCATTTCCCAAGGGTCCCCGAATTTCCAGCGACAGAAAAAAACTGCCCGGCCCAGTGCGATTTTGGCCGAGGAAAAAACGACGAGCCTAAGTCAACAAACTCGGGAAAGACCAATTCAGGGCCGTGATCTGATCGGCCCATATTTGAGCTGCGCCCGCTCAGCGAGGACCAGAACTATTAACACAACAACCACGCAGCGGTAAGTACTTCGCAGCTGATTGATTGTTGCGGCAGGGCGGCTCTCGCCTCCCCCACAATCAGAGAGCCGGTCATAGTCGAGAGCTGGGACCCTCGCGAAGTAAGCTGTTGCCGTGGCTGAGTGGAAAGCTTCAGAAGAGCCAGCTCCAGCTTATTTACCCCGACATATACTGACTGGTGCTTCAATTTTGACATATTCGGGATCGCTAGTCCCTTCCAAAGAATGGTAAACCTCGTAGACAGATTTATAAGACTGACAATGTAATGAAGCGATAAGTGTTAACCTTCATCGATGTAATGGGCTTTTCTTAATCGGGCTCATTCACCGCCTTCGAATTTCCCCGATCGAACCGGGGGGTCCGAATATCAAAAGCTCCGACTGATTGGAACTCGAGATCTTCAGGTGAGCGTTAGATTTGATTATCCGCAGCGCCGATGTGATTATCTCTCGGGAATCACGTTGAATTCACTTGGACAGACGAAAAGACGGAAGCGCGGTACGATCGCCAAGCAGACTTCGCTTTGTAGCTCTCTCAACCTTTTCACTTGTGAATTATGGGAATACATCGATGGCACCAAAGAGGACTCATACCAGAACAAACGAGCGAGAGGAGCAATCATTTCGGGAATTAAAAGTAACCTCTTCTCCTCGATCCGAGATGCGACCTCTGGTAAAGAGATCTGGGAATCGTTAGAAAAAATGTTCCAACCCAGAGGGATCTACAGAAAGGTGGCGTTACTCGTAGAACTGACCAGCCTCAAGTATTCCGATTGTCCTGACATGCAAACCTACTTGAATCAGAAAGTTGCAATCGCTCAAAATCTCAAGGCAATCAACAACGAAATCGAGGATCGACTCCTAGCGGGATTGATCCTGATGAAGCTCCCGGAAGAATACACGCCTCTAATCCAAAGCTTAAGTCAGGGAGAGATATCAAATGAGCTCGTCAGGGAAAGACTACTTTGTGAGGCAGACCGACAGAAAGCACAAAGGCGCGAGACCGCGCTCATAGGTTCACGACCCGATTACAGCTATCGCACCCCGCAATCACGAGGCCGGGGCGGCCCTATGAGAGCAACAACTAGAGGCCGAGGGTTTGTTAGAGGATCAAATCTCAGCTCAAGAGGAAGGCCCGTTGGGGAACCTCATTTCCGAAGAACCTGTTACACTTGTGGGAGATCAGGTCATTTCCAAAAAGACTGTTACTCGAATTCGGTGTACGGGAGAGAAAGAGATCGTTATCCTTATGAAGAACATGGCAAAGTTGCGCATGAACGAGATGATGGAAGGTCGAACAAAGGAGAGCAGGAGAACAACGAACTCGTGAATTTCGAGCAAGTTCTAGTGTCGTCGACTAGAACGGCCCGATCGGACGCCGATTCGGAATGGTTCATCGACTCCGGAGCGTCCAGACATATGACGGTATCGAAACACTCGTTCGTCCACCTAAACGAGAAGGCTCGATCTAGGTTGGTGATGACAGCAAACAACCAGATCCTGAGGTCTGCCGGGATAGGGGACATCTCTCTCAGTTGTTATGTGAATGGGGAATGTCGATGCACGAAAATGCGCGACGTACTATACGTGCCAGGACTTCGAGTGAACCTGATATCAGTAAAGCAACTGGCCGAGAAGGGATTCAAAGTGAGCTTCAACGAAAAGAAGTGCGAGATCAGGAACAGTAACGGCAATTTGTGCGCTGAGGCCAGTTGCTCTGGAACCGACTTGTATCGATTGGATGTATGCTCCATTCAAGCAGCTATCATGGTCCAAGATGGCAAACTACACGACTCGTACGACCTATGGCATCGAAGGCTCGGTCATCTGCATCCGGAAGCAATAAGGAGGTTAGCCGGGGGACTCGTGAATGGAGTCAATTGTCAAATTCCATCTGAAAACGCGTCCGTGGAGCCTGTGTGGGTGGAAAACAGCGAGGACTGGAATTCCCGAAATCACGATCGGTCTCAGGGGGTCGACTGGAATTAGTCCATAGTGACGTATGTGGCCCAATGGCTAATAAAAGCATTGGTGGTCATCGGTACTTCATTGTCTTTGTCGACGACTACACGAGGATGACCTCGGTGGCCTTCATGAAGGAGAAATCGGAGACCTTCGAGAAACTAGTCGAGTACATACGGTACTCTGAGAGAAGTACCGGGAAAAAGCTGAGGAGATTGCGAACTGATAACGGTACGGAATACGTGAATCGAAGAGTGTCAACTTTTCTCAAGGAGCACGGCATCCGACATGAGACCACGGTACCATATTGTCCTGAGCAGAATGGTCTTGCCGAACGAGCACTGAGGACATCAGTGGAGAAGGCTCGGTCAATGATAACGGACGCAGGTCTCGACCAAATTTTTTGGGCCGAAGCGATACTCACAGCCTGTCAGTTGAAGAATTTGAGTCCGACAGCTGCTTTGAGGGATATGTGTCCAGAGGAGGCTTGGTCAGGAAGAAACCCGATCTAAGGTTTTTGAGGGTGTTCGGATGTCTGGCATACTCCCATGTACCCAAGGAGAAAAGAAAAAAATGGGATGAAAAGACGAAGAAATGTATCTTCGTTGGGTATTGTCAAGAAACGAAAGGTTATCGATTGATCCCTCTCGAAAATATCTCTGTGATCGAGAAAGCCCGGAATGTACACTTCGATGAAACGGTGTGGGCATCGTCCCTGATGCAGATGGATGAAAGGTTTACCACAAAGATCAAACTCAGATCGAAGGTGGTGGTTCCAAAGCCGAAGTTGAGTGAGTTGAAGCCAAATGGGCCGATTAAGTTGATTGAGTCCGAGCGAAGTAAGCCGATGCTGAGTGAATCAGAATCAGAGGAAATCGTCACGGGCGAAGTTGACTCGGAAGAGAATGACGACGCGGTGGATGTCCAAGAAACTGACGAACGGACTGAAGTCCCCAAGATCGGTATGAAACGATCCCTGATGGACGCCGACTCGGAAAAGCATGGGGGAAGGGCCGGGGGCCCCCCGAGTAAACGCAAGAGCGTGAGGCCGAGTTGGATGGATGATATTGTGTGCGTCTGTGGACCCAGTTCGACAACAAATTACGATTCTCCGTCGACGGCTGAAGAGGCAATGTCGAGAGATGATGCGGAAAGGTGGAGGTCGGCAATGGACGTGGAAATGAAGGCTCACGACAAGAATGGCACGTGGGTGCTCGTGGATCGCCCCGCGCATAGGAGGGTCATTACTTCGAAATGGGTCTTCCAATTGAAGAAGGATAGTGAGGAACGAATCGTGAAGTATAAGGCAAGACTGGTCGGACGTGGATGTGGACAGACCAGGGGCGTAGATTTTGATGAGACATATTCACCCGTTGTCAAGATCACTACCCTTCGATTCTTGTTCGCACGGGCAGCACAGGAGAATTGGCGAATCCGGCAGTTGGACGTAGAGACCGCGTACTTGCACGGTAAGTTGGAGGAGGAAATTTTCATGGAACAACCTCCTATGTTCCAGGTTGATGATAAAGTGTGTCTCTTGAAAAAATCACTCTACGGTCTGCGTCAAGCTGGGAGAGTCTGGTTCGAAACGTTGAACAAGTCCTTGATAGGTCTAGGTCTCAAGGAATTCGGAGCGGATCGGTGCTGCTACTTCATGACGAAAGGGGAAGGGCTGCTCATAGTCACCATATATGTTGACGATTTCTTGCTTTTCACCAACGACTCGAGTCTGCAGAAAACATTTGGGGGAGGTGTTTCCGCTGAAAGACCTCGGGCTTGCGCAGTACTGTCTCGGGATCAGAATTCACCAAGAACCAGAAAGAAAAGTCATTTTGCTCGATCAAGCTGAGAACATCCGTAGAGTCCTGGAAGGTTCGGAATGACCGATTGCAAGC